CGTCGCAACAGAGGTCGGTAGGACCGGCCAGGCTGAAACTTCGTCGTACCTCTTCGAAGGCGGTCAGCAGGCGCAGAGGGCTCCACTCCGAGGCCAAATCTGCACGTTGGTGGCGCCCTAGGCCATCGTTGACGAAGCCATCGGGTGATGCGTACACCGAAAAATCGTCTGCAGTCCAGGCGACGGCCGGTGAACCCTCGTGCTCTGTCGTCTCAGCAGCCAGCGTACTAGATATCTGAGTGAAACAAGGCGGAAGGGGGAATTTAAGGTCCACACAAACGTCACATTACCGAAAAACCTAATTAATCTTGTGTGGAATCCTACTTTGGGTCCCAGAAATTGTTTATATAATCCAATGTTTTCGCGACAAAATAGCGCGTCATAAATATACACGGAAATTTACTTACATTCCTTATAGTTTATTGGGTGTGACAAATCTGGATTTTTTTACTTACTTATGCTTTATAGTTTATTGGGTTTCTTGATATTGCTGCAAAAAATGTGGTGGTTAGAAGGTCGTCTACCTTAATTTACCTGAGGTCCAAGTTACTTTTTTTGGAATTAGATTAGTATAGTTTGAGGCGCGAAGCGCCACGCACACCTTCAATTAACATGCGCAACAACTTTACGTTATTTTACTTCAGTTGGTTTGTTTGACTTATTTATATTTAAGTTCAGTTTTCAGTTCATAACTGTGTTTATAATTTGTATTTAAGCTGTAGATTATTTTTATTTAAGTGAGTTCAGTTTACTTAAGTTTACGTTCTTTAGTTAGTTCATTTTCGTTTTAGTCTTTTTTCATTTAGTTATTACGCAATACTTGCATAATTGCACATTTTAATTATGGTGCGCTTTTTTGTTGACAAACATTAGATTTTTAAATAATTACTTCGGTTTTTTACTTTTACAAACTTTATTTTTTTAAACTAATATTTCCTTTCCTTTGTGTTGCCCAGACTAGATACCCTTTACTACACCCGGTCCTATATTACAGAAGAAAGGGGGTATCGCTTGCTGATCTGGGACCCCAAGTAGAAAAAAATTGAAATGATCAATCAACATAGGAACGTTAAGCTACACAACTGCTGACAAAAACCTAGATAGTTTGGGGATAAAAAAAATCAGGGCGAAATAATTAGAAGACTATTATTGCTCAGCAGTCCGGTCGAAGTTTACGCAATCACCAGCTACTGACTGCGATAATAGTAAGCACGGAAAATTGTAGTACCCCGCCTC